CAACCAGCCCAGCCCCGCTCCACCCCTGCAAGCAAGCCCTGCTGAAAGCTGTCCAACTTCTGCCTCCAGCTCTTGGTTCGGCTCTGGGGCAGGTGGTGTTTCCCCCATGAGTACTTACACACAGTCACCAAATGGTCTTTCAGCTCCCGCTGCTCCTAAATGAGGTGAGGTGTGAGATGCTGAAGCCCCACTCAAATTTTTTCTCCATGCTTGAGCAGCAGGTATTTAGCACACCCAAGTGCAAAGTCCTAGAACCCAAACACACGCACCTAGAACAAGGGAGTGCAGGGCATGCTCACTTCACCACCATCAGCTATGGAAGGGGGGTCATGGGCCACCCCCACCACCACGAGACCAGCCCTGGTGTCTCGTGTCCTCACAAGGGGTGCTTGAGCAAGTCTGGAGCCCATTCCCCTGCCAAGGCCGTGATACACATAGGTGCGACTTGGAATGTGGAAGAGCAGCGCACCTAGAACAAGGGAGTGCAGGGCATGCTCACTTCACCACCATCAGCTATGGAAGGGGGGTCATGGGCCACCCCCACCACCACGAGACCAGCCCTGGTGTCTCGTGTCCTCACAAGGGGTGCTTGAGCAAGTCTGGAGCCCATTCCCCTGCCAAGGCCGTGATACACATAGGTGCGACTTGGAATGTGGAAGAGCAGCTCGCAGAGGGAGATTTCTGACAGCGGATGGGTTTCTATCAAGCCAAGCCAGGGCAAGACCCACTGCTGAGAGAAAAGTGAGCGAGTCTTTCAAGACAGTTGTTAACCAGGAAGATGATTAACCTGTGGAGCAGCTTCTCTACTGCCAGCACAGAGTCTCCAACCCCAGGCACCTCCTTCATGAAGGTAGCCCCATGAGTTGAGCACAGGGTGGTCTGTCAGCTCCCAGGGGCTTCAGACATCTCCAGCCCACAGCAGCAGCCGTGCCAGAGGATGGGGGTGCAGCCCTCACACAGGACAGGCAAAACTGTCCACACTTTCTTCTGAGCAGACAGGGCTCAACTCACGCCCCTGCCATTAAATGGAGCATGTGGAGCTCCTGTTGTGGCCTCCAGCCCCAGAGCAGCCAGCACAGCTGGCAGGAATGGTGGCTTGGTTTGCCCCAGCAACCTTCCCACGCCCCAGGCTGAGACCCTGCTGTCCCAATATGCACAGGACAACAAGGAGCGAAGCTGGGAAACTGGCAGAGCTCGGAGAGGCCACGCAGAGGCAGCTGCCCTAGTCCCAAGGGCAAAAATCAGCAGGCACAAATGCTTCCCTGGCTCCAGCAACTCCACTGTGCCCAAGCCCATTGCATCCAGGGGAGAAGATAGATGGGCAGCTCCAGGCATCCACTCTGATGCAACGCTAAAAGCACCAGGGGATCCATGCTTCCCCTACAAAGGTGTACTGGCAGCAGAGCAGGATGAGAGCCTTGTGCTGGATGCAGGAAACTTCAGAAGCATTGGCTCCAGGCTCCCTGCAGAGTGGAGGCAGAAGGACTTTGTTCTTCCCTTCCCCAAGCAGCAGAAGAGCTGCAGGCCCAGCTGTCCACAGCTGGCTTCCCCAGGGTGTGCTCACCATGGTCAGGAAGAGGGGAGCAGAGCCAGCATGAAGTATCCCCACCCCTGGGAACGCTGCCAAGGGTTCCCCAGGATGGAGGGACACTGCAGAGCCCCAGCAGCACCCGCCCAGGCAGCAGCACCCAGCCAACCATCACATGAGGGAGGTGCTGGTTGGAGGACAGCCTTGGAAGGGGCTCCTCTGCCCTTCTGGTGTTCCCCAGCCGCACCATGGGGTTATGGACACTGCGTACGCTCCCTCTCTGTGCTAAACTACCTGGACAGGAGCCAAAGGGCCCAAACCAGCTTGTGCCTGTGCCTCCAGCACGCTTTGTGCAGGGCAGTGCCAGCACTGGCAGGAGCCTGGCAGAGGCAGCATGGAGCTGCCTGGCAGGGAGCTGCCTCCTGCCTGCTCCAGCAGCCTCCTACCTGCTCAGGGCAGCAAAGCAGAGCTCTGTTCCCACAGCCCAGAGGACACTTCTTGCAGGCTGAGCAGGCAGCAGGGTTAACCCCATGCAGGGAGGACACCACCAGGCTCCTGGCACCAGGCAAGGACTTTGCCAGAGGCACAGAAGGGAATTTCCAAGCAGAGGGTCAGCCCAAAATCAGCACTTGCTCTCTACAAGGCTCCCTGGCACGTGCAGGGCAGAGGAAGAGCTGCATCCTTGGATGAGAACCATATTTATTTCACAGACACAGAATTGCACTGGTCATTGATTCTACACACGCCGGGGACACGCAGCAGCAGGGCCCTGCGGGCTGGGCCAGGCGGCTGGGGGCAGAATTCACACAGAGAAATTTGTTTCTTCCAAGGGGCCGATTGATCGCCGGGATGGGGCTCTGCACAGCCAGGCTCCCACACCCACTGCCGGGCAGCTCCCGCCCCAAGCAAGGGTAGAAACATTAAATAAGTATATACAGCACCTCTTGGGGCGGGCGGGAACAGGCTGCCTGGGACAGGGCTCAGTTGCCCATTTTTACTTTAGATGTCTAGAAAGGAGAGAAGAAAAAAAAAAAGAGAGGTTAAGCTGTGTCCCAAAAATGCCAGCCTAGCACCCCAGTCCCACCCAAGCACCCCAGGACCATCCAGAAGCTGCAGACAGCTTATCAGCCCCATCGATAAGACACAAGCATCACACAGGGTGCACCCAAGGTGACACCCTCGGTGACAGTTGCTCAGAGAGGCCACTACAAGAGTTCTTACTGCTGCACATAGGCACAGTATGCTGTGGGGAGAGCTGTGCCACCCCAAACCTTGTGAGCAGTCTCCCTGTCCCAATGCAGCAGATTGTGCTGGAGCCCGGGTGTGTCTCCTCAGAGCTGAGGAGCACCCGGGGTGACAGGCACCTTGTGCTCACAAAGCCTGGTGGCCCCAGGAGGTGGGTACCTGCAGGATAGCGACAATGACCCCGAACAGCCCTATGGCACTGCCAAAGATCTCCACGATCAGGATCTTGACGAAGAGGCTGGCATTCTGGGCATCAGCCAGGGCAGCCCCGCTGCCCACAATGCCCACGCAGACCCCACAGAAGAGATTGCACAACCCCACGGTCAGGCCAGCACCAAACATGGAGAAACCTGTGAGAGATGAAAACTGCAAGAGCAGGGGGTAACCCCCTTCCACCCGCAACCAGGGACGCTGCAGCAGCTCTGCCTCGAGGTGACAGAAGACCCAGAGCTGCCAAGCACCAGCAGTGTCCTCCTGTTTGGGGGCAGGACTGCTCCAGGGTGCTCCGCAGCACCAGGTCAGCCGGTGACAGCGATCTGCTGCCGCCCGTGGGAGGAGCGGTGCTGCCACTGGGAAGCACAGCCCAGCTGGGTGCAGAAAGGCCTCGAGAAGGGAACTAAAAAGCTGCTTTTTGGCAGAAGAGTCACATGTCCTTCAGACACCTGCAGCAGGCCACAGGCTGGGTAAGTCAGGCCCTGCAGTCCTGTTCTCTACGGCCCAGGGCAGAGGGAACAGCAGGAGGTGGCAGTCAGGGTGTGGCCATGCTCATGGGGACTGAGCAGTCCTTACCTGCGTGATAGTTCCTGGCTCCAATCGTCTCCGGGGTGACCGCAGAGAAAGGCTGAAAGAAAGCACATGGCCTGGGTTAGGGGCAAGTCCGTGGTCTCTGGGAGAGGGACCTGTCCCTGATACGGCATGAGGCAGCCACATTTTGGCCAGAGCTGGTCCCTGACTCCATGCCCCTGGGTGGCTTCACAATACCTACCCTGTGTGTGCTCCCCCTACTCACCCTTCAGCGTGGACAAGGCCACCACACAGATCACCAGCCCAAGAGCTCCCAGAGCCACAACAGCATCCAAAGTCCCCAGAGGACCATCACTCACAACACTGGCCCAGCTGCCCATCCCCACCGTGGCCCCAAGGCCAGCGCAGCTCTGTCAGGGTAGCCCAGGTCCTCCCGTACCTCAGCCATGTTACTGATGACAATTGCCATGATGATCCCGTAGATGGCCACAGCCTCACAGAAAATGATGCTGTGGGAGAAAGGCAAAGTCTGACCACATTATCCCAGGCTCTGCCCACCCCAAGCAGCCCCTGCCACTTTGTGCCCAGCCAGCCAGCAGCCAGACCCCTCCACAGCTGCCATAGCTGCCGAGGGCTGAAAGGCAGCCCAGCCCACCCACTGCTCCCATCTCAAAGAAGAGGGAGCTGCTGAACATGAAGGATGGGTGCTGGGTGCTGGTTATACTGTGCCACCCGAGTAAGTTGTGACAGCCCTGTGGGAAGCAGGTCCACAGGGAACCCTGCCCTCTGCCAAGCCCCCTTCTGCTCCTTGGGGGAAGGGCTATGGAAGGTCTGGACAGGGCAGGAAGTGTGATCTCAGGGTGTTTGTTTTGAACACGCTGAGCTCATTCACTGTGTGGTAGCACCCAGTGACTCTTCAAAGCAGCACTCTGGCTCTTTTAGGGCTCTTTGTTTTGAAAGCAAACAGCATCAGAAGCTCAGCAAGGAACAGTCTGCCAGCAGCACCCAACAGGAGCCTCTGCACCGCTCTGGGACCTGCTCCGCTCAGGTGTGTGCTTACCTGACCAGGTTCTTGGTTTTGATCCGAGGGGCTTTGACTCCACCACCGATGATGCTGGAGCCCGTGATGTAAATCCCCCTGTGGCAGACAATGGTGGTTGATGGAGGATCTGGCACTCACTGAAGGATTCAACAGGGAAACCAGGATCTTCCAGCTGAGCAAAGAATTGGGCATGCGGCTGGGGACACTGCAGACTTGGCCCGTCCACCCCCAGGGTACAAGTGGTCCCAGTTCCACCGCCGACACCAGCAGAACTGCTGGGGCACAAGAACCACCACTGCACAGTTTAGGCTGAGGGGTACAGATTTCAGAGAGTCAGGGAAGTTCCTGTCTCTCCACTGCCATTGCAGGCTGTGAGGTGGTCTGCCCAAATCCCCCAGGAGCCCAGCAACCTGGCCCCACTGCTGCAGAGACCCACCCAGCCCCAAATCCCTGCATGTACAGACTGTTCTGCCCCTGCCCTGCCATGGGAAACCACAGTGTATGCACAGCTACAGAGGTGGGACAGCAGGAGCCTGCTGAAGAGCCAGTCCCACTCACCAGGCAGCTCCCACCACGGACAGGGAGATGGCCAGGCCAATGCCCAGGTTGGACCACATGAAGGGGGAAGTCTCTGTCAGAAACCTGGAGAGGAAGAAGTGCCCCGAGTTAACACAGAGGCTGAGCCCCCCAGTCACAGTGCACAGCCCCACAACAGGTACCCCCCACCCCATCATGCAGCCCAGGATGGGTTGGGCACTGTCAGACAGTGGGACACGAGAGCCTCTTTGTGCTGGCCAACAACTCAGGAGCCTCACACAAATGGACTGAGATCTTCCTCCCAAACCCTTGCCTTGAAAGGGAAGCCTGGGCTGGGAGGGGGGGTGGGAAGGGCAATGATGGCTGCACCAGGACCCCACATGGAGCCAGCCACACATACACGTGGGCTGCATCTATCCCACCCTGTGGGGAGCAGAGGCCTTGCCCACTGTAGCTGTTTCCCTGCGATACAATGGCCAGTGCCCACTGCTCTAAAGTGCGCGCTGTTCCCTGCAGGCACTGCCAACGCCACCCACCTCCCCACGCAGCCCTGAGGGTGCTGGTATTGACAGGGGACTCACCAGGCCACATCGAAGCGGAAGCCCAGGTCAAATATTGTGTAGCAGATCCCTGGAGAGCAACAGCAACACAGCAGGGTTACTGGGAGGGCTGGCTCAGGTGTGCAGAGCTGTGGGGCATGGTGTCCCCCAAAGTCCAGCCCCAGTGACACCAGTACCCACCACATCAGCACAGGACAAAGACAGCTTGACAGGGGACTCACCAGGCCACATCGAAGCGGAAGCCCAGGTCAAATATTGTGTAGCAGATCCCTGGAGAGCAACAGCAACACAGCAGGGTTACTGGGAGGGCTGGCTCAGGTGTGCAGAGCTGTGGGGCATGGTGTCCCCCAAAGTCCAGCCCCAGTGACACCAGTACCCACCACATCAGCACAGGACAAAGACAGCCCGGACACGTGACACTCACAGATCCCACCCCAGTCTTTACCCAGGAGAGGATTGCTGTGGTGGTCACACCCATTTTCTGTTCCCTGACCCTGCTGGGCACCCACAGGCCACGCTGGGCTGCAGAGGCTCAAGAGCAACCCACAGCCCTGTGCCCCAGCACGGTCTCCAGCTGTATCACCCAACGGCTCAGCCCCGCTGGAGAGCCACGGCACCGAGTGACCAGGCATGAGCTCTTCTCTCTCACAGGGGACACGAGAGGTGCAAGGCTGTGCCCTGACCAACCATCACACGCTGCTCCGTCACCATCCCAACAGGGTCTGTGCTGCTCCCTGGGAGCCCACCAGCACCAGCACCAGCAGCTGCCCCGCAGCACCCCTCTTTCCAAGGCTGTAAACATTCCAGACATGCCTGCTGTCCTCAGCATTTATGTCCTCAGCATTTCCCCCAGGATTAGTCATTTCCAGATAAATTTGTACTCCACCACAGGCAGCAGACACCAAAGTGCAGCCCCAAAAAGCCTGTCCCTGCCAGGGAGGGATCACGAGGGCAGCTCGCCCTGCTGTACCCGAGTTGCACCCAGCAGCCTCGTGCAGCCCGAGCACACACAGAGGTGCTCGCAGCAGAACCTGCCTTGCTCTGAGCTCCTGAGGGGGACACCCGGCTGCAGACCAGAACATACACTCACTCTTTGCATGACTTGCAGCATGCAGCTGGGAAAGAGACAGAGACCTGGCCCTAAGGAAGAGATAAGTGCAGGAAGCATGGCACTGCCTGCTTCACAACAGATAAAGAGGCTGAAGGGATGGTGAAAGGCTGAAGCTCTCTACGATCGCTGACCAGAGCCAGGGGCTGTGTGACCCCTACGCTCCCTACAGCTGGAAAAAGAGGAAATGGGAGACTTCTGAAATGCTTGGAAGCAGCAAAGAGGTCGTGGCACGTGTCCTGCTGCTCCCTTCCCCCCAGAGTCGCAGCCTGGAGGCCAGGGTGTCAGCAAGCCAGCAGCGTACCCAGCAGCAACACAGGGGCAGGACCACGTGCCCCAGTTTGGAGGAGCCCTTTCCTGCCCACAGCCAAGACCTGAGGACAGCTCAGGCCATGGGAGAGCACTGGTGCTGCAGCACAGACCTGCCAGCGTCACAGCAGGGATGTCTCCATGTCCCTGAGTGCTAACGCCCCCCACATGACTCAGGGGGGCTCAGCACCCCACGCACCAGGAGGACACACAAGCACTGCCAGGCAAGCGGGCCCCGAAACGGGAAGCGGTAACGCTGGTCACTCCTCCCGCCCCGGAACCGCCGTGCCCCGTCCCCTGCAGCAGCACACACAGGGCAGGAACGGTGCCACCACGGCCAGGGAGGGCGGAGGGAGGCTGCAGCCTGGTCCCCACGCCCAGTGACCTTCAGGGATGATCTCTGCGGAGCTGGGCCCAGCCGGTCTGAGACTTGTGTTTTGGCTTCGCCGCACGGCTGGCAGAGCAGGAACTGAACCCAGCCAGCCTCAGCTGCCCCCATGCCCCAGCAGTGGTAAAAAAGAACTACACCCAGCTCAGGGCAGATCCTTGAGGCACCTTCCAACTCTTCCAAGAGCAGATGTAGCCTTGGATTCATATACAAAAGAAAGCAGATGAAGGCTGCTCTCCTGTGAGCTCTGGCTCCCAACCCTGCAGCCAAGAGGGCAGAAGAGAGCCAGGGCAGCAGGATGGGAGCAGCAAAGCAGGACTCAGGACAGGGGGGAAGCACAAAGAGGCACTGCAACACCGAGCAGAGTGAGACCACTTCCTGCTCGCTCCTTCCCCGCAATGGGACTGCAGCGGGGCAGGGGAAGCTCACAGCTCAGCTTGTCGACACTTTCCAACGGTCTCGAGTTCACAGCGCGTGAGCTGCATGATTCAGAGCCCAGGGAGGCGGCCCTGGGCCCAGCCCTGGGGTCACAGCCCCTGGAAACAAGAGGGACTGAGACACTCTCAGCTTGTGACTCGGTTCTTCCCCTCACCCAGACACCGAGGTGGAAGCCAAGCTTTCCACAGCCTCTGCCTGGCTCGTGGTCACGTCACTCTGCGCTGAAAGAGGAAATAACCAGCAGCTCCAGCACAAAATCTCCCCAGTACCCCCTGGAGTCAATCCCTTCCCAGGAAGCACGACACCCACCCT